TTTAGGTACGAGAGACAGATCCATGTAGTTTTTTACAATCAAGACCAGTTATCAGTTATCAGATAACTAGGTTGGTTTTAATTTATTGTTTCGAATTTAAATTCGTCCAACAACATGACCGTCTGCTTCTACTCCCTTCTTATAACCAGATTTGATCGGGAATGATCATTTTGAGTTTCGGACGAAACTCGGTAACAATGTTGGTAATAATTGAATTATCTTTTGCAATTTCTTAACGTTTAATCCTTGATATTAATCGTTAGTTGCTTGCTTTTGTGAAAACGTTTTGGATATTTAATCATAAATAGTATCAAACCATGGTTTGTTTGTCAATACTAAATAGTTTGTAATTAGTTCATAATACTAATTATGGGATTGTTTAAATATTAAGTTTGAATTTCAACAATAAAGGTGGGGTAGAATAAACAGGCTCATGATTGACAATATTTGGCTGGCGAATCCTACTCGTAAAAAAAGGAGATTTGGTGCTTTTTCTCTACTAAATTCAGCGACTTTGATATGGTGAAACCAAAATTGATGCATAAATGTTTTAGAAAGTTATCTATAATGAATCAAGATTTATTAGAAATGACGTTCTCCCTCTCAAAAATAAAAAAAATGTGGTTTGGTGTTGTCACATCCCCAAACCAGGATGGCGGAAACGTCCGGGGGTGGATGACTTTCATGTATCGTATCACAACATAGAGAATAATAGTGACCAAAGCAAACACAACCATCATAAATATAATTGAAAAAGGTTACATTGTTTCATGCGTTACATGTTTCAAAATCAATTCCAATATGATGATAAAAATGCTTTGTTTGACGCCTTAGCGTTCCATCCTCAAAAGCTGGTAGTTACCTGTTTTAGTGATTTCCTGAGAATACAAGTAGTTTTGAAAGCGTTTGTATGTAGAGTTGAAAGCCTTTCTTTATATAAGGATAGTGTTCGTTCCAAAAAATCCAATATTTTCCTTTAAAAATGAGTTACAGTCTTAAAAACCCAAAGACCGAAATGTACACGTATTTTCCATACTTATAATAGTATATGTAGTTTTAAACTATATAAAACCATTTGAGTGAATGTATCCCCGTAAACTATATGTATCGTTGTTTCCCCATGTGAGTTATTATAACCGTGCTAATGACATAGATGGTCTGTTACGACGTTCTTCAGGCGTCAGAATGTTATGACATTTGTCACCCCAGACCTGCCAGTCTAGCTGTTGCAAGCAGCTTAGGTGCGGGATTGCCAATCTCGTATAGATCTATACACAACTATCACGCTCTCTTACTGGAGACTCTGGTTATAATACAAGACTTTTGTAGGTACACTGATTTGTATGGTGAAGACTTTGGCTCACAAAAATTTGATTCAACGAGTTTACGTATAGTGTAATGAAAACCCTTTTGTAAGTGGAAATAAAAACTTTCCATAGAAGTTTCATAGTGTATAATAATTATTCCTTTAAACAATTATTTGTTTGCCCCAAAATGGTAAACTGGTATAAATGACCCATAAACTATATCGATTATAGTTTATCACGAACGTTTTGTAGAAATGAAAAGCCTTTATATGAATGATTATCACTTTTCCATGATAATAAAATAGCATGAAATAACCATATATAAGTTACTATATAATCATACACTTTGCTCAACATGTTATAAAAATGTTAAAGATTCACAGTAATAATTATTTTATGCAACTTACTTGAGTCTTTAGTATAAAAATGTCCATTTTCATTTTCTAGTTTTTGATTCTTTTCGGTCCAGGTTCTTAGAAAAATTATAGAAAAATCATCGTAAGTCGAAATCTGGATCCGTAAACTCTCAAATATTGAAAAATGAGTCTACTTTGTCCATAATTTTTATCCAGACCTTAAGTGGTTCCTAACCAGCGTAAAAATGTTTATTTTCATAGACTGGTCCGAAACTGTTTTTGAAATGATAGGCAGTTTTGTAAAAATCACCATAAATCGTAGAAAAATCGTATGAACCCGTGCGAGTAGTCATTAAAAAGGTATAGAGCTGAACTATTTACATTATGTACAGTTTTGAAAAATATTAAGTTTAAGATGGGTAAAACAGTCCGTGAACAGATCATAACTTTTCTGTAAAAAGCTGATCTTTAAGTTTAGACTATGTTTTAGTGACGTAAGTTGTATCCCCCCTCCCCCTTAAAACTTGGAAAAACTCGAAAATGTAGGGGTATAAACTCACCTTATGTGTTTTATTTATGAGTGGAAGGTTTAGAATGAAGAGTTTAAAGTCAAGAGCACTTGAAAAATGCTTGAAGATTTTGATGATCCTATGGACGTTAATATGTGAATATGTGTGTAAATGATTTAAGATTATTATGGAAGTATGGAGAAATCTTAGAATTTGGAGGAAATACTTACCAATAAGGAGGAAGGACCCAAGAACACTCCTTGGAAAGAAAACGTGGCTATAGAGAGAGAGGGTGAGAGCTCTTTTGTGGAGAGAAAAATGGAATTTTGGAAGTAATAGTGAAGTGAGAGTTAAATCTCCTGCTCACTTATTTTAAAGGAAGAATTAGGCAAGTGGATGTGTTGTTGGGATGTGTAATAGATAATGATTTGACCAGTGGAGACTAGAGAAGTGACATAAAGGTGACACTGGGTTTGATGGGGGGATCCACTTGATCCACTTGTGCTATATAATATCTTTTTAACTTTAGATATTATTTTATATAAATGTGTGATTTATATTTAATAAAGTTTCAAGATGTGCATAAAATATGAGTTTAGGAGATCTAGGATGTGAAAAATATGAGTTTGATGGAAATCCGGCGTCAAAAACTCTTAAAAACGACGAAAAGTCTGAAACTGCCAAAAATCCGGAGTGGTGTCCGAAGGGGGCTGGGTGCGAGGTCAGTAGAGCCTAAGATGCGAAGGTTCGCCGCGAGAGGGTTCACAGTAAACTTACCGTTTCCGATTTTCTCCTCCCATTTCGAGTGGTTTTCAACAAATTGAAGGGTTGGGATGGTATGGGTGTTTATGGAAAAGGTTGGAAGTGTGATTCTTGTTACTAAGAGAGATTTGAGAGAGATTTGGGAGAGAGAGAGAGAGAGAGATTGAGAGAAATTTTGTTTGTAGTCTTTGTTATGGTTTTTCCTCGTAGTGTTAGGATTATGAACTCCATTACGCCGTGGTATGAGTGTTATTTATCCCCGAAGGATACATAGTTGAATTTTATCGAGTTGTTACGTTTCCCACCTTACTTAGGGCTTATACTGACAATTGGTAAATTCTGAGTGATACTTCGTATTAAAATAGTAAGTTCTACATTAGGAAACATAGTGTAATACCCTAACGTACTAGTAATGGTCGAGTTGACCGGGTTGACTTGTTGACTTTGTTTGACCCAAAGTTGACGGTTGTCACAGGTGTCATGGAAATAACAAAGCCCCATGATGGTTTCCTTTCAAATTTATTAAGGAGATTTAGGAGAATCTTAAATGCTATTTTTGAACTTTGTAAAAGAGTTTAAATAGAGATGAGATTAGAAAATGTTGGAATGCTTCTTTTATTTCACTTATATTTCAAAGATTTGAGATCTCATTGCTTTGAAATATTATAAACTTATGAATCTTATTGGGGTGCATATATAAAGTGGCTTCAAAGCTTCTTGTCTTATAACTTTAAAAAGGTTATTGGAAAAGTTATTGGACCAGAGTAGTCGGCGTATATTGAAGGCAGATGTATTCTTGATGGTCCCTTGTTATTAATGAGTTATACACTTGGGTTAGAAAGGTAAAGGAAAAAGTTCCGATTTTTAAAGTCGATTTTCATAAAGCTTTTGATTCGTTTATGTGGGAATTCTTGAATTCTATTTTGGAGCAAATGAATTTTGGTTCTAAATGGAGATGTTGGATTAGAAGTTGCCTCTCTTCCGGTAGAGCTTCGATCTTAGTTAACATATCAGGCTACCAGAGAGTTTGACATATGGAATGTTGTTAGACAAGGAGATCCACTTTCTCCTTTTCTTTATTCTAGAGATGGAGGGCCTAGCTATTTCTATGAAAGAAGATTGTGATCAACATATCCTCCAATGTATTTCTCTTCCTAATCATGGTCCTAAGTTGTTTCATCTCATATTCTCATTTCTCTTCCTAATCATGGTCCTAAGTTGTTTCATCTCATATTCTCATGTATGCAGATGATGTCACTTTCATTGAAGAATGGTTTCCGGTTAATTTTATTAATATCAATGGAGTTCTAAGCTACTTTTATCTTGCTTCCGGATTGAAAGTTAACCTTTACAAAAGCAAGGTTTATGGTGTTGTTGAAAAGATAATGTTGAGATTGTTAGACTTGATAGTGTCATGTTTTGAGCCCACTTGCTTCCCTTTCACTTATTTTGAGCTTTCCATTGTGCCAACATGAAACTTGCTAAGAATCGGAGTCCTATTATGTATAAATTTAGGTATGAATTTACTAAATCTTTCGTTCTAAACACTCACTCTTCTCAAATTGATGATCGGTAGCATTCCTCTTTATTACTTCACTTTATTTAAAGCGCCAAAGAAAATTCTGGATTTATTGGAGAGCTTGAGAAGGACGTGTTTTGAGGGTTGTAATAAAAGCAATAGAAGGATAAATTGGGTTGATTGGTCTACTACTACGCTCTCTAAAAGTAATGGCAGTCTTGGAGTTGTTTATCTTTATTCGATGAAAAACTGTTGGCGAAACGTGGATTACCGAGGACTTGGCTTTCAATTTCACAAATTAATTATGATTTTCAAGAATTAGGGATCTCTTTAAATAACCTTTTTTCATAGGCATATTTGTTCTGGATATCGTACCTTCTTTTCTAAAAGGATAAGTGGTGTGAAAGTGTGGCTCTTATAAAGATTACTTGTTTTCGTGGGTTTGTTGTATATTTTTCTTATTATTATAATGTTATTATACAACACACTTGATAACGAAACATAATAATCAAACATCTTTATTAAATGTAAATTTCATAACTAAATAACGCAGAGTAAATTTCAGAAATAAATACGCATATAGAAGTGTTCCCATGTAAAATAGAGGCTTAGAATATATGAAAGTGGGTTATATTCATATAAAATCCCCACAAGAAAAATATGAAAGTGGGTTATATTCATATGAAGCTTACATAAAGTTGTGAAATCATTGGCCAATTTTCCTAGAAGTTAACTTATCTCCATGTAGTGTAATCTTCCAGCAATCAATTTGGAGCATAAATACAGATACCTTCTTCACTACAACTGAATTTTCAAATTATTTTCAGTTCTGATTAAAATATTTTTTTAAAAACAGTAAAATGATGGAAATTTTATAAAAAAGAGCTTTTTTGTAAAAGAGATGATAATTACCTTTGAATTTATTATCTTTTGTGATTATTCCAAATGTCTCTGCAGTTTCACGAATCATGATCCCACTCACTCCAGTGAACCCATCCATTTTGCATTGTGCAACTGCAATAAGCAAAAACAATGTCACAAAAAAAAAATTAATAATGAAATATAAATATATTCAGAATAAAATATAATTGATAAAAATATGAAATTACGAGTTTTAACCTAGAATAAGTGCACCATGAAGATCTGCACCAAGAAGACATTGAGCCATTTGGCTTTTCCTGAAACATTCATCAGAATTGCAACAAAATCAGAAAAATAAATATAATCATTTAAAAACATGAAAAACGGCTCAACTTTTTATTCACAAAATAAAGAGTAAATTACAAATATGGTCCCTGTGGTTTTCACTTTTTACCACGCTCGGTCCTTTTTTGTAACCTTTTTCAGTTTTCGTATCAAATTTGGTACCTGCCCCAAGTTAAATGACTTTTTTACCCCTTGTCTATTTTTTTTTACTAATTTAATTATAATTGGTAGTGGGGAGGTACTTATTTTGACAACAATAATAACAAACACATAAATAAAATTAAACTAAAACAAAATTACATAAATGGTCCCTGTGCTTTACAAAAATTCACAGGTTCAGTCCCTAACTTTTTTTTTTCTTGAGAGGGATGGTCCTGTGGTTTCAGTTTCTTTAGTAGTTGGTCCTTTTGACCCTTGTAAAATGACTTTTATACCCTTTTTAGTATCTTTTTCTTTTTCTTTAATATATTCATAATTTATAGAGTAAATTACAAAAATGGTCCCTGTAGTTTGGTCCAACCGTTAAAAAGGTGAAAGTTGGTGTTCCCATGGTTTCAAACAATTACACCATCGGTCCCTTTTGGCTAACACCGTTAACAATAATAGATTAAATATTACAAATGACCAGTTTGCCCTTTATACCACAGGGACCATTTCTGTAACTTACTCCAAAATAAAATTTAAAAAGTAGTGAAAAAGAACTCTTACCCAACACTCTTCAAAAGTTGCATTATATACCCTTTCCAAATTTCATGCATCGGTTTAAACGTTTCAAAGCTGTAAACAATATAAAAATAAATATTTTTCAAAACAAAAAATATAACTCCTAACAAACATAAATTTGAAAAAAGGAAAAAAAATAAAAATAAAAATAAAAACTAACTTATGCTGCTCTTGAGGCAAATCCAAAGACCCATATTTCTTGTGTTGTTTCATCGACATGTGTTTTTTTGATCTTTTTGAGTGGCTTTGTAACGCTTTTGTAAGTGTAATAATTCCAGATTTTTTATTGTCTTTTATTTTATTATCAAGATGAACACGATTATCAATTTTCATTCTTCTTGATCCTTGCATGTAATTTTGAGCAGAATCTCCACTTTGTAAAAGTTCATGCAAAATTTTGTCCACTACATTTCCCTGTATAAATTACTTATTGAAATACTTTAATAAAAAAAATGGAAAGAATAAATAAAAAATAAAGACCTGAAGATCCGACTTTGCTAAATTCTCATGTACAGGGTGAGAGAGTGGAAGATATATAGGATGATGATCTTCTTCAACATCTGTATAATTAGGCAACAAAAATAACGATTGACTTTGACTTTGACTTTGACTTTCTAAAACAAAATCTATACAGAATATAGAATTGTAGTTTGCACCTCTTTTAGTAGTTTGCACTGAGAAAGAATATTTGCCTACAAAGATTAAAAGTATTATCAATTTCAAAGAATCCAACGAAATTAAATATAAAACCATATAAATTTTATAGCTCAATAACCTTTCTTTGATGTGGACTTAAAATCGGGAGAACTTTCTAGAATTCTCTTATTGTTCTTGTGTTTTTGTTGCAACTGAAGCTCATGAGCTTCTCTTCTTGCTATTGCATCAAATGCACGATTTTTTGAATCTTCCATGCTTGTGCACTTTGTCAATTCAGAATATAATTTTTCAGTGTATCTACATTAAACAAAAGTACAAATTTAAATCACATATCCTTAAAAAATACTTTGTGTTATTTTCTATAACCTCAATCAGGTCCATTTAAATCATAACTATTGGAAAAACTTTTGCCTTTCTATGTAATTCAAATGTAATTGTAATTAACTCTCAAGATTGGGTTAACATTTTCTAATCAAACCATAAAGGTTTCAGACTTTTTTCCAAAATTTACCATTTTGACATGTTATATCAACTGAAAATGATTAATTTGGAAAATGGATGAAACTTATATGGTTTTATTGAAACATTGTATTAGTGGTTAAACTGCAAAACTGCCCAAAATATAATGGTTTTTTGCTATACCTTAGATGCTATTCTAATAGTCTAGAAGGATAAATTGGGAAATCAAATAAATAAAGAGCAACCTATTACTGGGAGGGGTATTTTGGGTATTTATGTTATTTAGTTTGTTACAGCTAGAGAGGGTAGAGATTTTGGGTGGCAATAGCATCATCTATCTTGTGAGAAATCTGGTATTTCATACATTGAAAGAAGCTAGGCTTTTGAATCTCTAGCAAATCATTAGGTTTATCTTGTTATTTTGAGTCTTATCAATGAAGTATTGGTTTTCTGTTCTTGTTTTGATACTAAAATCTAAATCAGTTCATAGCAATTAGCAAATTGGTATCAGAGCATGATTTCTGCAACTGTGGGAAAAGGGTAGAAGCAATAAAGAAAACGATGGGGGTATTGTTTTATGGAGATGCAGCAACAAATTAACACCCGATTCTCCCTGATACATAAGAAAAAGAAATTTACAGAGATGACTACAAAGATAGGTACACTCTACCTTTAGGATACAGGGTTTGTTCCACTTTTTCAGAGAAAAACGGCAAAGACAGCAGCTATAGACTGCTCCCGCCACCACCACCACCACCGAAAAATGAAACAAGAAACGGAGAAACAATTCTTAAGAGGGGAAGGACCAAGTGGCGATTTCACACATTGATGACACAAACCCCGAGGAGTGGATTCTTAAGCCGGAAAGGTTATTCTCTTGTTATGAAGATGAAGAAATAGTGGAAGCTGTGGAGGCTTTAGAGGGAGACGCCCTACTGTGGTATGAATTGGAGCATAGTAGGCGGCGTATACAAAACTGTGAGGAGCTAAAGGCTCGATCCGTCGTCGTTTCAGATCTCACAGCAATCGGCGATCTTCCAGCTCAAAGAGAAGACGGAGCTTAAGACGGTTCCGTCAAAAGAAGTAACGTTTCTAGGGCATCACAATCGGCCGAAATTGGAGTTGTGGGCTCACATAAATCAGATCAAATAATGGCCTCAAAGTAACAATTCAATTCTGGGGTTACCACGCTTAACAAAAAGACACTCGGGTGTATCGCCGGGTGTAAGCGAGACAAGCCAACTCGTGAGAAACTCGAGACCGACTCGAAAAATACTCGAAATCGACTCGACCTTAATCGAGCCGAGCTCGAGCTCGAGCTACTCGAGTACCTTATCGAGCCGAGCTCGAGTACTAAAATACTCATCTTGTACGGCTCGCGAGCTTAGTCGAGCTTAGTGTAATTTACATATATGCCATTTCTTTAATTTATTAATTGTTAATCATTAATAACATAATAAAAAAAAACTAAAAAATCTCTGATATCTCTATCCGTCGATCCATCCTAAAGTCCTAATTCCCAAACCCAAAAAACCCTTAATCCTTTATTCCCTTAGCTATCGGCTATCGCCTTATCCCCTGACCCTATCGTTCAGACCTTCACAAATCGCAAAACGCATATCGCCATTCACCAGCATCTCCTTCGCTGCTCCACATACCGGTTGCCGCCTGCCGGTGCACTATCTGTGCTCGTCGCCGCTGCTCCACCATCCTTAATCGCCACCATTCATAATCGCTGGCCTCTACTTCATCGATGGTTGCTGAGTAAGAACGGAGAACGACACATACATACATACGATTGAAGTTGGAAATCGAGAAATTTAACACCAGAAATCCAGAATCAGAATCATAAACAGTGTTCAGCAAGCTTGCATGATACTGAAACAATCAACTAATTTTTTTTGTGTAAGCCTAAATGGTAATAAAACTGGTATGAAAGTACTAATGGCTTAATAATGACAAGATCCAAACAAGATTTCTGTTATCACATCTGCAATATATCTTATTCAGGTATGTAATTCGAATTCCCATACTCAATTTTTCCCTTTCGAATTCTTAAATCACATAGTAAGATCAAACAATTATCACGTTTTATAGATTAGAGATTAAAAAATCAAATGATTACTGTAAGAGACTATCACTTACATACACATCGACTATTACTGTAAGACACAAAAGGAACTGAAAGCTGGAAATCGACTGTCACATAGATACACCAAGACACAATAGGAAATCGAATATTACTGTAAGAAAAAGAAAGAAATATGGACTTACAAGTACAACTTCAATCGTATGTATGTATGTGTCGTTCTCCGTTCTTACTCAGCAACCATCGATGAAGTAGAGGCCGACGATTATGAATGGTGGCGATTAAGGATGGTGGAGCAGCGGCGACGAGCACAGATAGTGCACCGGCAGGCGGCAACCAGTATGTGGAGCAGCGGAGGAGATGCTGGCGAATGGCGATTTGCGTTTTGCGATTTGTGAAGGTCTGAACGATAGGGGTCAGGGGATAAGGCGATAGCCGATAGCTAAGGGAATAAAGGATTAAGGGTTTTTTGGGTTTGGGAATTAGGACTTTAGGATGGATCGACGGATAAAGATATCAGGGATTTTTTAGTTTTTTTTATTATGTTATTAATGATTAACAATTAATAAATTAAAGAAATGACATATATGTAAATTACACTAAGCTCGACTAAGCTCGCGAGCCGTACAAGATGAGTATTTTAGTACTCGAGCTCGGCTCGATAAGGTACTCGAGTAGCTCGAGCTCGAGCTCGGCTCGATTAAGGTCGAGTCGATTTCGAGTATTTTTCGAGTCGGTCTCGAGTTTCTCACGAGTTGGCTTGTCTCGCTTACACCCCTATATCGCCCAAATCAATGGTCTGGTACTAGGTACTAGATGTAGCCTTTCCGTCAGGCAAAATGTCTGATATTTATAACGTTCTGATAGTTAAGGGTCGAGATACTGCTGGTCAACCAATTAATGTGACTTGTGAGGTACAACAGTTATTAGGAAACAATTGAGTTAGGGTCGTAGCTATGAGTGCTACAGATGGTCTAACGAGAGGGATTGACGTAATTAATACGGGAGCTCCATTAAGTGTTCCGGTCGATGGAGCGACTCTCGGACGAATTTTCAACGTGCTTGGCGAGCCTATTGATAATTTAGGTCCTGTAGATACTAGTACAATATTTCCTATTCATAGATTTGCGCCTGCCTTTATACAGTTAGATACAAAATTATCTATTTTTGAAACCGGAATTAAAGTAGTAGACAAAACCTAGCCCTATAAGTCTGGTAAGGATGTCAAAAAATCCTGTGGGGCCCCGATCCCGAATGGGGAATATTTGTTTAAAAAATCGGGGACATGGGCGGGGGAGGGGGCAAGGTTAACCCCCATTTTAATTTCGGGGGCGGCGGCGGGGATATGTAGTCTCGTCCCGAACCCCCAATGGGGACCCGGTTAATATATTATCTTTGTTAATATATATATTAATTATAAAAATATAATAAACAATAGCAATGATTTTGAACTTCCAAAATTTAATAAAATATCATGTTTTTAAGTTGTTAGTATAACGTTTTTGAGATGTTATAATATTTTTATTTTAAACATATAAAATTATGATATAAATAACTATTTTTACCTAAAATGGTTTCTTTTAGTCCGAAAATAACTTCTTTTAGTCTAAACAACACCTTCGTTCGACCAAAAAAAAGTCAACCCAAACGGGGGCGGGGGTGGGAGGCTAGAGAATTCGGGGGCGGGGGAACGGGAAAAATTTGGGGGTGGAGGCGTGAGATGCAATCCACTCAAGTCTTAAACACTCAAACTTAACTTGTTTATTTCATATGGGCAAATGCCCTATTTATAGGCTCAAGAGAGCCGGTTACATAATTGAGTTGCAATCGTTTGAAATACGACATAGATATTTACAATATAGCCCCCTAGACTATTGAGGGTTATACACTTATTTCACATCCTAGACACTACTTTTTGACAATAATAATTATAAAAGACAAATGACAAATAATTACAATCCTTCCATAATGAAAGGACACGTGTCTTCAATAATGTCTTCAATAATAATGACTTTTTACGTCATTGCTTTCGTCATTCCTCCTGCCACCGAAAGGACATATATTTCTGAATGATGTGTGCTTTGGTAATTGCTGACGTTATTTTTCCATGAACGGTGTTTCTTCCATATTCGAGTAGGAATGTTTTTAGTTGTTTCTCTATGATGGCTTCCATTCTCTTGTCAATGTGTCTGCTATATGATTGTTGGCACTTTTGATATACTTGAGGTATGGATGAAATTGATGTAATTGTAATTGCCAACAAATCAATCGTCCTCGACAATAATCTTCTTGTAACGTATATCGCCAAAAGCCAAGTAGATACTTGGAATCTGTGCGTAATTCGAATCTGGTTTGAAGTAGCTCGACTTTCCATTTTTTCAATGTTCTGAGACATGCTAGTGTTTCTCGTTCATGTGTGCTGTAATTTTGCTCCGCTTGGGAAAATGTTCTCGATATATATTTGCATAGTTTTTGCTCATATTTATCTGTTTTTAATACTTCAGATGATACATCTGTATCAGTGTATGCTTTTGGTGATATTTTCATATCACTGTATACTTTATCATTGTTTACTTCGGATGGTATTTTCATACCAGTGTATGCTTTATCATTATATACTTTTGATGAGTTAGATATGAGGTTTCCCTCACTATCTAATCTCAATAATACATTTCCACGTATAATTGCTTTTAGGCATCCTGCCTAAGTGTCTTGTGATGCATCTGTCTCCACAATTAGAAAATCGTCGATTTTTGCATTATATAAAGTGTGGAGAACTTGAATTTTTTGTTTTATACTTTGTACCAAAATAGTATCTGTATTGGTCCAAGACCAAGGTATTTTTTCTGATATTTTCTTTTGTAAAACTTTTCTTTCTTTTGCTAAGTTTTTCAAAAATCCTTGTTCTGCAATATAATTTAAACAACCAAGAAATCGTTGTATTTGTTTTCTATTTTCAAGTTTATCAGGAAACATATTTAATTTTTCTCGTATATTGTTTGTTAACTATAATTGACCATTTTCTCCAATTTTTAAACCGAGATATTCAACTGTAGATTGAAAAAGTTTTGATTTCTTTTTTGATAAAACTAAACCCGTTTCTTTAATTCTTTGTAAAACCTTGATGACTGCATCAATGTATGTTTGTTCATTTCCTTTTGTAAAAACAATTATATCATCAATATATGCAAGACAAATATGATATAAAGCATTTAAAGTTTCATCCATGAATCGCTGATATATTGCTGGTGCCTGTTTTAAACCGAATTGAAGGATATTCCATTCATAATGCTTCTGAGGAGGACATGAAAAAGCGGTTAGTGGTTTCGTATTTTCATGTAAGCGTAATTGCCAATATCCGGATTTTGCATCAAATGTACTAAAATGTGTATTTCCTTTTATTTTTTCTAAAATATATTCTTTTCGTGGTAATTTATATGAGTCTCCTATAGTAGCATCGTTCATTTTTTTTATAATTAATCACTATTCTTCGTTTTCCCCGTTTTATTTCATTATTATTTTCTACATAGAATGCAGGTGCAGAATGATGACTTGTGTTAGGTCGAATGATTCCTTTTTCTAGTAGTTCAGTGCATTCTTGTTTATATTCAGAAACATCTTTTATACTATATGGAATTTTATTTGGAATATTAACTTCATCATTGGGATTTTTTAATAATATTATTATTTCTTGATTATTTCTATTTTTTTAATGATCTAGCGGGTTTTTACTACATACATCTTCAAGTTGTTTTTCAACAATTTCTTTAGCGAACGTTAGTAATATACGTAGTTGAAAACCAACTTCTTGTTTGATTATTTTGATAAGATCATAATATTTGATAATTGCAGTTTTTATAATACATTTTGTCGGATGATTGAGACTTATATGATCATTTGTTTGTATAAATGGTTGATATAATTTAATGAAATTATTTCCTATTACTAAATCTATTCCTGAATCATGTTGATATATAGTTGGAGTTTTAAATGGTGCATTTTCAATTACTATATCTATGTCTCTTCCTACGAACCAAATTTTGTGAATTGATTTATCAGCAATTGTAATTTTTAATGGTTTTTCTAATTTTTCCCAATTTTTTAATATCTTTCTTCTTCCAAAATATAAAGTAGCTCCTGTATCTATATACGAAACTAGTTCTTTATCTTGTATTTTAGTTGTAATAAAGGTACTATTTGAGTTAATATTTGTTTTTCTTTTAATCATTAGAGTTAGTCTATAAATTTCTATATTTGTGTTGTTATTTTTTCTTGCAAAGTTTCCATATTAACAAGTTGTGTTTGTTAGAGTGGTTGAAATATTGCGTATTGTTTTTAAATTACGATTTTGTATTTTTTGTATTTCTTAATTCCTTCTTGTAATCTAGATATCTTTTTTAATTGATTATTATATTCTTTATTTACTGATTGTAATTTTAACAAATAGTTTTCTTCATATGATAAAGCATTTTCTAAATGTTGAATGATATTAGAGATATTAGAATTTATTTTCCAATAGTTTTTTAATATATTAGTCCAAAGCATGTTATCTTTTGAAGAATTAATTTGTACTTTTGAATTCATTTTAACAAATTATTAAAGCGTCTGAAAGAAAATTAATTGAATTGTTAATGTCTTTTATTACTATTTTAAAATGATTAATTTGAGTTCTTAATCTTTCAATTTTAATTAATTGATATACAGT